CACACACACACACACACACACACACACACACACACACGACACACGGGCTGGGGAGATAGCTCAGCTGAATAGGTCCCGAGTTCACTCCTTGCTACCCCCTGCAACAGACAGTCAAACGAAACCAAACCCAAAACATCAAGGTTAGACATTAAGAAGCTAAAAAGAGCCCGGCATGGTGGCGCACACCTGTGATCCCAGCACTCAGGAGGCAGAGTTGGGAAGATCATTTTGAGTTTGAGATCAGCCTGGTCTACAAAGTGAGCTCGAGGCCAGGCTGACCTGTACAGTGAGACCCTGTCTCAAAAACAAAAAAGCTGAGGAGCCAGGGAGATGGCTCAATAGAATAAGTGCTTCCCTGGCAAGCGCAAGGGCCTGAGTTCAATCCCCGGTTCTGCCAAAAAAAAAAAAAAAAAAAAAGATTTATTGGATAAAGGCTTTTACTATACAGCTCGGACTCACAGTGATGGCTCAGCCTCCCTAGCACTCAGATTACAGGCGTGTGCTACCACACCCAGCTTCAGTGGCCTGCATTGCTTGGGGTACTGGGGATCGAGCCCTGGTCCTTGTACTTGCCAGGAAGGTGCTTAGACCGCCAAGCTATCTCCCCAGCCATTTTATTTTATTTTTTTATTTTTATTTTTTTTTGCGGAACCAGGGATTGAACTCAGGTCCTTGTGCTTGCCAGGCAAGTGCTTATTCTACTGAGCCATCTCCCCAGCCCCAGCCATTTTATTTTTAAAATAAGGGCTATTGACTTTGTGCCAGCTTAGAAGCAACGGACAAAATCCTTAAGGATGGCAGAAGCTGAGTGTAGTGGCACATACTTCTAACCTCAGCACTGAGAGGCTGAGGCAGGAGGATTCCAACTTTGAGCCCAGCCTGCACAATTTATGAACTCAGACCCCGTCCCAATATTAAAAAATAGAAAAGGGGACTGGGGATGTAGTTCAGTGCACACACAAAGATGTTCTCACAACCGACAAACGGAAAATGTGGAAGGCACGTGGACTACAGGAGAGTGACTTGTAATTCAAAGCTGCCCCAAAGGGTCGTGGGCACAGCTGAGTGGCAGAGTGCTTACCTAGCATGCGAGAGACCTAGCTCACGCTGAGCAGTTTGGGAAAAAGAAAACTATAAAAACCCCAAACCAAACCAATAAAGCTTTCCTACAAAGAAAACTTCAGGTTCAAATGGCTAGATTATGAATCCAGCAAACATCCAAGTTGAATACACACCTGTGATCCCAGCACTCTGCGAGACTGAGGCAGGAGGACTGCATAGTCACATTCTCTTAATGAATAGAGGGATTTGTTCTAATGGTGTTTGTAAATAGGATATCAAGTCCGCATCTTGTACAGCAATTAACCACTAGGAAGAATGCAGGCAATGTGTTAATTATTGAAAGTGTCCTGGGACTGGTGAGATGGCTCAGTGGTCTAAAGCACCTACTTAGAGCAAGCTTCGCAAAGCGCAGGGACCGCGGTTCAATCCCCAGCACCACATGCCAGCCAGCCCCGCCCCCTGGTGGGCTGAGCTGGCCACACACACACATAAATAAAATAAAATAAAATAAAGAACATCTAGCAAATTAAAAAAAAAAAAAGAAAGTGTCCTACCAATTTGGTTTGAAACTGTCTCATTGCTATTTGTTTCTCAATAAAATTATGGGAAAAAAAGTGGAAAAGGGCAGGGGGTGTGGCTCAATGCAAAGGCCTGGGTTCTACCCCCAGTACTAAGAAGAAAAAAAAAAAAAAGAAACAAAGCCATGAGAAACATGAGGCCAAGTATAATGTCCTGTCCCCAGTGCAAGCAACAGGAGCCACCAGAGGGCTGGGCCTGCCTCTGGCCCTGAGATAAGGCCTGGGAAGGCCTGAGGCTTTCTGAGCGATAAACTCCAGGCGCAGCCAGCGTAGGGATGCGGAATCTTTATTATTGGAGGACAACCTGGGTGTCACCAATGCCTGGTTTCTGGGCTTGTAGTGTGACTGCTGCTTGGAACCCAATCCTCACCAGCCTGTGCTTCTGCTGGGGCAGCTGCTGAAGCCACGAGGGGCCTCTGCTCGCACCAGGCTGGCCTCACTTCTGCCGATGCCGCTCTGCCTGCTCCCAGCTTCCCGCTTGCCTGGGCCACAGGCCTCGGCCTAGCCTGGCTCTGGGCGATGGCCAGCTTAGCTGTGGCCGTGGGGCCATGTGCACTGATCACCCGACAGGGCGGACGGTGGGCGCCCACGGCTCCTCAGAACTCTGCCCTGGCCCCTGGCCTGCTGCGCTCAGCGCAGCCGGTTTCCCTTTCCTAGTCACGCCGGCACGGGGGACATGGGCTCAGGTTTCCCCGCTGGTGCCACTGCAGTGCCCGTGGGGCGGCCCTGAGACATCGTGCCCTCTGTGGCCACCACACTGCCTGTGCTGTGGCCCTGGGACAGGAGGGTCGTGGGCTGTGAGAACTTCTGACCATGAGAACTTTGACTTCAGGGGGCTGGGGACACACCCCAGGGACATATCAGCTCTGGAATTCATCACTCTCTTCAGGTCCCTGTCTGGTCCTGGATTCTAGGCCCAAGTCTGTGGAGAGAAGAGGAAAGGCCACTGAACAAGAGGGGACACCCACATGCCAGGCTCTGCTCGTGGGACATGTGCGGAGGAGGGGCAGGCTGGCGCAGCAGCCCAGTGCCAAGGAGTGGAGGCCACCCATCCTCCACAGCCTGGCACCTGGCAGAGAGCTGGACGACAGCAGCTGTAGGCTGTCCAGGACACCACCCTCATACAAAGCTAGCTTCTGCACCATCTTTCGTCGGGCTGGGTTGATGACGATATGCGGCGGCTCAGAAGCGGAGGAGGATGAGGAAGCAGAGCTGCCCAGGGGTGCCCCTGCACCAAGAGAACACTGTGAGCCGCCCTGGGCGTCCTTGGTGAAGCGCCAGCCTCACAGGAGCCAAGGCTGTGCCCACGCAGGGCCTCCTGCTGCTAGGGGGCATGGAGGTGGGGACAAGCTTGGGTGGTGGTGGGGAACCAGAGAGCCTCAGGCCAGTCTGGTCCTCCTACGTGGCCTGAGCTCATGGGATATGCCAACCTGGCCTTGTTCTTCCTTGAGGGAGGGCCCAGTGGTGTGCGGGTGCACTTAATGGGACCCCTCTACCATCTCTTGCCCACCTACCTTCTGCAGCCGGGGTCCCCAGGCCTGGGGGGCTCCCCCAGCTAGATTCTTGAGCGGCATCTTTCCCTTGGAAGGACGTGGGGCCCAGTGGACAGCTGGGGCTCAAATGCCAGGAGTGCAGGATGGCAGAGAGGCCCGACAGGCTCTCATCACTCTCCACGGGCTGGTTGGGGCTTTGGCGGGGCTGCGGTGTAGCATGGGCAGGGGCTACCGAGTGTACCAGCAGGGGCTCGGGTGGGGCCCTCTCAGCCTGGGGGCTACTGTAACTGGATACAGACACGTAGGAGTTTTCTTGGGGGAATGGGACATCCTGGCTAGCCACCTCTGGCTCCAGGGGAGGTCCAGTCACAGCTGCCTGCAGCCTCTCCAGCTGCTCATACACCTGCAAGGGGAGGCAGGCCGTCGGGATGGGTAACAACAATGCTGCCAGGGTCCCAGCTTCGCCTGGACCCACGCGGGGGTCCTGCTTGCAGCCCCAGGTGCGCACAGTCCCGTAGGGCTGCAGGAACACAGCTTTGTGGCTCACCCTGTGGCCCGTCCCAAGATGGGGTCAGTGCCAGAGCCAGAGCCAGGAGGGTGCTCAAGGAGTGGGAGGAGGGCGGCTGCTCCCGGGCTACCTGAGTCATGGGGGGCCTCCGCTTGGCCCGGCGGTGCAGGCAGCAGCAAGCCAGCTGCCCGAGGACCAGGCCCAGCTGGGGTGGGCACGGCCCAGGCCTGGGGTCCAGGTGCTTCTCACAGATCTGGGCGGCGATGGGCGCGGCCCAGGCGTCCGCCAGGCCAGCCTGGAGAGTGGTCCCGGTGCTCTTCAGGCTCAGCCCAGCCTCTTCAGCCTCCTCTTCCACCAGGTCCTTCTGTGGGGCAACACCAGGAGCACAGCCACTTGGGTCAGCAGCCCTCTCTCGGGCTACCGTGCCCTGCCTTGGGCTGAGGGACAGAGAGACAGTCAGGGCACTCCCAGGCCTGCCTGCAGAACATACTTCACAATGGGAACTCCATGCCACCAAGCCTGTTGCTGCTAGCAACGCACGGGCTGGAACTTGGAGGCTGTGGCCACGGGCAAATGGGAAAGGAGAGGGATGCAGGCAGGCCCCTGGCTCACTGGCTGTGGGAATGGGATGGCAAGAGCCCCATGTGGGACAGAGGGGACAAGAACAGAAAGGTCTGTAGAAGCCAGAAGCACGCACGGACCCTCCGAGGCCTCACCGCCTGTGTCCCACCTTGTCTTGCATAGAGGATGCCTACCCCTGCCTTATCTGTCCCCTCCCCGGCCCGAGCCCTGGTCAGTGTTGAGGCCTAGGGAGCAGGCAGGACAGTGACAGGTTTCTCCAGAGGGAAGGAGGCAGTCTGGGCACTGCCCGTTTCAAAGATGAGTCAGTGGTGTGATCAGCTCGCCCCACCCTCTGCCCTGGGCTCACCAGATACTTGGTCCCAGTGCTGTGTGTCCTCACAGCCCGTTGGCCAGCCAGGGTCTCGAGCACGACCTGGAGAGGGTGGGACAGAGCCCGGCCCCTGGCCTCAGCAGGGAGGCCCCCAGTGGATGTGCACTGGGATGGCGGAGGTATGCCATTGGAGCAAAGTAGAAGTGATTCGGGGGGCTCGCTTGAAGGAAAGGAGCACAAGGTGAGACACCAGATGTGCAGGGGAATGAAAGCACCGTGCAGACCGAGCAGCGTCTGGTGCTGCGGCCTGCTCAGCCGCGAGCTGCTTTGGGCCCTGCCTCCCTGCCTGCCTTGGCCTTCTGCACCCCTCCGTCCTGGCCAGCTCAGGTGTCACACTCACCACCCCGAAGCTGAAGGTGTCTGTGTCCACGGCCAGCCGGCCTGTCTTGATGTACTCCTCTGGCAAATAGGCCAGTGTGCCCCGCACTGTGCGGGTCCGCGCCACAGTGCTGCTCTGGCCAGGCGTGGCCCCCGTGAAGCGGCTGAACCGGGCCAGGCCAAAGTCCCCCAGCTTGGGCATCAGCCTGTCATCTAGAAGCACGTTGGAACTAGAGGAGCACAGCGGGCAGTGTGAGCAGCCCCAAAGGAACTGGCCCAGGCTTCCTACCTGATGCCTCGCCAGGGGGCTGGTGGGGGGCCCAGCTGCACACCTGTGCCACAGGGTCTGCTCTATGCCTGGCGCCCCTGAGGCTCTGGGCTGGGCCGTACTGCAGCTTGGAGCTCCTGCCCTCACCTCTTGATGTCACCGTGGATGAGGCTGGGGCTGTGCCGATGCAGAAACTGGATGGCCCGGGCCGTGCCCAGCAGGATGTCCAGTCTCTGTGGCCATGAGAGAGGCAGACAGGCCTGCGGCTGGGGGCAAAGCAAACAAAGATGGGGCTCAAGGGTTCTCTGAGAATCCTCCCTGTACCCCTTGCTGTGTGGCCTGGATCAAGCTAGCCATTCCACCCCCTGAGCCTGTTTCCTTTCTGTAAAAGAGCAAAATGGTTATGACCAAATTCATACTCTTTGTGGAGTCTGAGCTATTTCAAAGCCACAGAAAAGCCAGCTGTGGTGAGCCATGCCTATAATCCAGGAGGCTGAGGCAGGAAGACTGCTGCAAGTCTGAAGCCAGCCTGGGCTATATGGTGAGACAAACGAATCAATCCCGAAAATAAGAGTCTGCTTTCAGAGGAGCTGCTTGGGAGAGGCCGCAGGAAAGTGACCCTTCAGGGCCATGGCCCCAGCTCAGGCCAAGCTCTGTGCCAGGTGCCACAGGGGTGCGGGCTGCCCACCGTGCACGAATGCCAGGCAGCTTACTGGGAAGTGGAGACGGTCCTCCAGGGAGCCATTGGGCAGGAAGCCGTAGACGAGACAGTAGTAGCCACTCTCGGCACAGTAGCCAGCCAAGTCCACGATGTTCGGGTGGCGAAACCTGCGGGACCAAGTGGAGCGGCTCGCCGGCTGCACAGGTGGCCCCGGCTCTCCTTCCCTGCGCCCCGGCACCCCGCAGCAGGAGGCCCAGGCTCACCTGGACAGCTGCTCCACCTCAGTCAGGAAGCTCTGCTTCACCACGCTCCACTCCAGGTCGGCGTCCTGCGGCCCGGGAGGCAAGAGGCCAGTAAGCCGAGGCAGCGTGCGCTGCTGGCCCTCGCGTCCCTCGTGTCCCATCCATCAGCCACAGACCTCCCTGAGCCTCTTCACAGCGTACGTGGTGTTCCTGAGCACTGCCCGGTACACGCAGCCGAAGCCGCCCTCGCCGACGCACAGCTCCTCCGCGAAGTCGCGGGTGCCCTGGGCGATCTCGCTGAGGGGCCAGCAGAAGGGGGCAGGCCCGGGCCCCTGCAGCAGGGACCCCACGCTGGGCTGCTGCCAGCGACCTGCTCGGGGGAGGTCGCGGGTGCGAGCTGCCCATCCCAGCTGCCTCCCAGCTGGCACCTGCCCTGTGGGGAGGGAGGCACCTACCTTGGTGGAGGGAGGGGCTGGGGATGGCGGTGGCGGCTGGAGGGCGGCAGGGCTCGGGACAGGGCACACGTCTGGCCCAGTGTGGGGCTGGGAGCCTGGTGGAGCGTCACAAGGCTGCCCCTCAGAGACGGGCACAGCGACAGCCCTGCGAGCTCACCTCGGGCCTCATGCCGACCCGTAGCCCCCTACCTGGGGAGGGCGCGGTGGAAGCAGAGGACGGCCACTTCCGGGGGCCCCGGGCTTCAGCCTCAGCGGGGGCAGGGCCGTTGTCACTGTCGCGGGGCTCTGGGGCAGCAATGCTTGGGGACGGGAGTGGGGAGGGAGGGTGCCCTGCGGCCGCGGAAGCAAAGGAGGTTGAGGCCTCGGGGAGGAGCATGGCGCCCACTCGCCCGCCCGCGGGGACGCATCCCGGGTCAGGGGTCTGCGTCGGGGCCCGCGCGCTCACAGGCCGCAATGATGTCCCGCGCACGCAGCAGCTGCAGGTGCGTGAGGATGCGCACGAGGTCGGCCACGCGCGCGTTGCGGTTGATCCAGGGCCACAGGACGCTGGCGGTGCGCTGCCCGGAACGCTCGCACAGCCGTAGCTCTGTCTGGTCGCGGACGATTAGGGCCGCTGCGGGGCGGGGAGCGTCAGGCTTGGCGCGCTCAGCCCGCGTCCCCTGTCGCCGGCTGCCCGCCGCCCGCCGCCCGCCGCCACTCACCGAATTGGCACCAGTCGGCCGGCTCTAGGGCGTCCATGACTTTGTAGAAGCGGCACATGACCCAGGGCGGCACCTCATACAAGAAGTGCTGTGCGCCGGGCACCGCTGGCTCGCCCGGGCCCGGCCCTCCGGCCATGGCCGCCGCCGGGCCGGGCCTCTTGGGGCCTCTTGGGGCCGCGGCGGGCGCGGGCCTGGGCCTGGGCCTGGGCCTGGGCCGGCCGGCTCCAAGGACACTGACTCACTTCCCCTTCGCACTGGCCGCGTGCGACGCCTGGCGGGGCGGAAGAGGCGGCGCCCGGGCTCGCGGCCATCTTGTCTTCCTCGGCGACCACAGCCTTCGCAGCCGTCTCGGCCACGCGGGGGCGCCCCGGGCAGGGGCGAGGGAGCACGACCTGTGGTGGCGGGGCGCCAGGGCCGAGCAGCGGGTCCAGGGTGCGGATGTGTGGACGACCCCAGGCCTGGGAAGAAAGCGGAGCAAAGGCCCGGGGTGTTGCAGAAAAGCTGCCCTAGAAAGGGGCCGGGCGCCCTGCTGGGCAGTTGCTGTTTTATATGGATGCCTGGAGATTCAGCTGAATTGTACGCAGGGCAGGTGACCTCTGGGTCACAGAAAGGCCCCTGGCAGCCTAGCCAGCTGGTGTGAGGCTGACTGTGGATGGAGAAAGGCCTGGAAGCTTGTGGTCCCACGCCTGTGGCAGTAACATCACTTTGCCTTTAGCAGGGCGCCCTGTGTGGGGCTAACCAACCCACCATGCTTTCCCCTCACGGTCCCTGCATCCTCCTTCAGCCCCCACTGCCCTGCCCTCCCTGGTGTCCTGGAGTAGGCCCCGTCTGCAATTCCTTCTGCGGACGGGACCTGGTTGAACCTCTCTTTCCCGCCTTTGGAAGCAGCCGTGGTAACGAGGCTGTTCACTGCGTCGGTAACCTCCACACCGCATAGGTCTCCCCACCAACCCCAGGCGTGCTCCTCCTCCCACGGATGGCGTTGGCCGCTCCGCTTTCCTGTGGCCTTATTCGAGTCCGCAGTCTCCTCCTTTCGTACAGGCCCACCACCCTTGCCGTGAACCATTATCTCCTTTGCCCCTGGCACTGCGCACTGAACCCACGGCCATCACACATGCCAGGAAGCACTGTACCACTGAGCTACATACCCCCCTCTTTTTTCATTTTGAGACAGGGTGTTACTTCACTGCCAGGGTTGGCCGCGAACCTGGATCCTCCTGCCTCAGCTTCTAGAGCAGTTGGGGCCATTGTACACCTAGGGCTTTATCCCAAGCAACTTGCTCCAAGGGTTCTGAGGTCTTTTAGCGTGTCCTATATGCTGCCTGGCCACCTCAAACCTTAGACCATCAGACCCCCTAGGCCAGTGCTGGTGAACCTATGACCCATGTGCTGCAGCAGGCTGTTATCACTGAAAGCTCTAACAGGTTCCCCACTACTGTTCTAGGATGCCCTGGGATGTGCCTCAGTGGCTGTGCCAGTCCCCACCATGGGCCGCTGAAGCTGTGGTAGCAGAGGCTTCCTCTCCAACTGCTGTCTCTGTGCCTTCTGACAGTCCCTCGGGACCTGTGACACCTTCCTGGGTCTGCCCAAGACCTGAGGGAAGCATCCCAAGGCCACAGCCACACTGGTCGTTGTCAGGAGGCCAGTCACACCACTAGCTCTGGTGGCTTCTCACTGGGCAGCGCTCACTACATGTGCTGCCTCTAGGGTCAGCAATGGTCATGCCTGTGCACAGGAGCCCTATGGGGGAAGGCTGCGGTCTTCCTGGTACTTTGGGGACAGGCCTGGTACACTGCACATGCTCAGTGGGGACCACTGACCTGTCAGCTTTTTCCCTTTAACACTCAAGGCTGGGCAACTTTCTAGTAGGTGGGCCCCAGCTGCCAGTGAAGCCAAACCAAGGCCCAGGGCCCCATGCCCACGTCCTGTTCTGTTTCCTGGAGCCAGGTTGAAGACAACTGTGCTCCAAAGAGTGTGCACCCTTAGGAGAAGTCAGCAGTGGCAGGACCCCTCTAGGCAGCCCCTCGGCATGCCCCTGCCAGGTGGTCACCCACGTGGACCAAGAGTCAGGAGCAGGACGCCCCCACCTCCCCAGGCAGTCCTGTGGGGGGCTGCCTGTGTGGGACTGTCCTGTCTGTCCCGGGCTAGAGGGAACTGCTGACTTACAATGAAAGCCCAGACCTTGAGTCACTTTCACAGAGAGGTTTATCGAGAATGCTAACAGCACAGGATACAGTACTTCCCAACAAAAGGTGCAAACGCGTCACTTAGAAAGGCATGCTGAGTACTCTTTGCTTCACATGTATTAAAAAACTTACAAAAATAAAATAAAACTGCGTGCTGCCCATCTTTTCAAATAGTAAAAGAACCTTATGAAAAACCACTTGATTTTACAACAAAAGACACAAACGGACATTTTTATGTAAATTTATAAGGCAAACTCTTTATATAATAAATAGGTTACAGGGATTCAGTGGGGGGGTGTTTTTGAAACGTATACAGGTACATTCAGACAGGTTTACTGAAATGGTACAAATTTCCTTAATAAATTGCCTTTTGTTTTAAATATATCAGTGCTTTCAGTCATTTGGCTATACACAAAGAACCTTTTTTGAACACTACAAAAAAGCAATCAATATTTTTGTTTTTAAAACAACCTACTTATTTTCTAAAGTAATTGTCCCAAAACACAAAAACTGAAGGTGAATGTGACAGAGGACTTTTAGAGACCCCTCCAGCTAACTCTGCCCTGGGCCTGTCCCCATACCCCGTGGACCCCTCTGGCATCAGGTGGCAGCACTGTCCTGTGGATCTTGGCCTCCAGGATGGCACAGGGACTTGGACTCGGCGGGGGACACCCTGCCTGGTTCTCCCAGCTGCTAAGCTCCACATGCAAAGGTCACTCTGGGGCACCCACTGTCTTTGCCTAAAGGTGAGTCCACAATGTCTAACAAGGGTAAGGCGTCAATCGAGCTGGCTCCACTGGCCACGGGGAGGGAAGGGGCTCCTTAGCTCAGGAGAGATCTTGCTGAGGACTGAATGACTGCCATTACATCACCCCAGCACAGTGGGGAGTAGCAAGGGCACGCAGGATGGGGTGTGACAGAAGTGCCTCCCTCAGATACCCTCCACCTGCCCGGGGTCCAGGAGCTCTGCTAGGCAGGGCGTGGCCAACCCATGCTCTGCCTGCCCCACTTGTGACCCAGCCTCCTTCACATAGCTTGGCCGCCCTTCCTCCCTCCCCCTCTCTTTGCCTCCCTCCCTCCTGGCTGTCCTGCAAGGAACATCAACCTGGTCTTTACCTACAGGTAATGATGCCCCTTTGTAGACTGGGGTAAGAGGGCATAGAAAGAACCCACTGTGTGGAACAAAAGCTGCTTCTGCTTGGCCTCTGCAAACAGCGACCCATCAGCCTCCCCAGTGTGCTGGCTTGAGCGGGCTTCGGGGCAGTCTCAGGACCATCTGGAAGGGGTCATCGCTTTGGGTCACCCCTCCTGTCTCACTCACAGTCCCCCTCCTTCCGAACACTCTGCTTGGAAAGAAAAGGTATCAAAAGCATTTGTCTCTGGAACAATTACTTTAAACATTGTTACAATACAGACTTCAGTTCAAACACAGAAGAGATTTACTTAGCAAAGTCCCTTTCACCCACCAAAAATTACACAGATAGAAGCCTCCACACCACAGTTAAGAGGACCAGTAGAGAAAAACCTCATGTTTCGAACACAAAAGGAAAAATAAAAACCAAACCAAACCCAAACAGAAACCCCAGAGAGACAAGGAGGGGTGAAAAGGTTGGGGGGAGCGAACACGGCACATGTTACAGTGTCCAGGTACATGGAGCCCTCGGGGGAGGACTCAGCACGGTTAATAACAGTCCTGGTGATATTTGGTCGTATATCCAACTACTGACTCTGGAGCGGCTGTCATTGATTGAAGCAGTGAGAAATCAAATGGAAAGCAGTCTGTGGCAGAGCACTGAGCTGTCCGTATGCCCGGGGCTATAGGTCACCAGGGATGCCAGCGCATCGGAGAGCACAGCACATGCGTGGGCACCCGCCTGTCAGTGGCCGGACACTGGACATCAGCGGCGCCACCTCTGCTGCTTCCGCCCTCCCAGGTGGCCGCTAATACTGAGCATGCAGTGTCCTGGCCCGAGCCCTGGCACTACCTGCAGCTGCCCCAGCCTGCACCTTCTGGGGCCCGCGACCCCCTGTTGGATTCTGGCCTTGAAGCAGCATGATGCACAGGGGGGAGATTTTGGCCCTGGTGGTTATAATGCTCTCTGCTTTGGAAGAACGTTTCTGGATATTTTCTTTAATGACTTAAAAAGTGATCAAAAAGGACTGTTACAACTAACCTCTCTAGCAGATATTGCTCATTAAGGATTACAAAAGCAAATGCAGTTACTCATGGGAGGGGAGAACAGAAGAGGGCATTGCTGGAGTCTCCCCTACTTCCTGGGGAGGAGCCCTGGACTGTCCGATATGGGTCCCGGGCCCCGGGCTCTCTTCCTGGTGTGGCCTCCCCTCTGCCCTTCAGCCCCCAGGCTCAGGTCGCTCAGTGGTGCTCCTATGGGGAGCAGTCTGTCCCCACCTCTGCTCGGCACAGGGAAGCCCTTAGAGGAGCAGGAAAGACCACAGATCTGCTTGGACCAAAGAAGTGACTAGCAGACAGATTTGTCAGGTTTTTTTTTCTTTTTTTATTTTCCCTTGTCCTATGCTATGGTTATCAGAAATATTGTAATTAAGCAACAGGTATAATTTTAACAGGTCTTTTTTTGTGTGTGTGGAGCCACAAGCAAAATGAGTTTATAATTGTGCAATATACATATATATATAGCTATATATATATAAATTCAACTGCTTTGTGTGTCTAGTCGGTGCATAAAATAAAAGGGATAGGAGAACTAAAAGCAAAACTCAAAAGCAAAACAAACGCCCAGGACAGAGGAGACGAGGAGGCCTACGCTTAATCTCTAAGTTACTGGAGAGGGTCAGGGTCACCAGGAAGGACAGCTTTGCCACTTGATACAAACACCACTGGGAGAGGGGGGCCTGGCTGCAGGAGCTGAGCCCGTGGCCTCTGTGGAGCACCTCCTCTTACGGCCAAGCAGGACCCAACCACGGCGACAGGCAGAAGGGGCAGTCTGTTCCCGTCCTCCCTCCCCACCGGCCCTGGGGCCCTGCCTTGCTGCCTGGACACAGCTCTGCGCTCCTGGCCCCTGCAAGGGCGGGGAGAGTGTGCCAGTGAGAGAGGCTGAGGGTGAGGAGCGCTCGCCTCAGAGCCCACTGGTGAGTGCACCACTTCCCACTCTGCGCCGGCCTCATGCCCCTAACCCCTATCCGCTCCAAGGCAAAGGGTCTCGAGCTGTGTCCCTGGTGACAGCGACCCCAGGAGTGACCACGACAAGAGGCCCCTGGTTCCAAGCCTCAGGTGCAGGAGGCTTCCGACTGCAGCTCCCTGTGTCTGTCACACTCACCAGACACCTCAGGCCAACTACTAAGTATTTTTGGATTCGCATTTTTGCAAAAGCTTGCTCTTACTCAGAAACATCAAAATGTAATTTTCTCTCAAATGTTTTCTAGGTTTTCCTTCTCAACTGTTGAGAACTGGTTTCAATGTTCAATTTTCCCCCTTTAATATGTAATTTTAGACCCTGGAGGAGGCAGTATCCTAGCGATTTATCACAATTAGACCTAAGCCTTTTCTAAAGATTGATACAATATCTAAAAGAGAAAGACATCAAAATGGAGAGAATCAACAGATCCCTTCAGAACACGGCTGTTCACAGGTGGAGAGAGCACACAGGACCGGGAAGAGGACGGACAGTGCAGGGTGCAGCCACCCGCTCTGTGGCCCTTTCCCCCGGCTGGGCCCTGGAAAGCGAGGACTTGCACAGTCCCAGGCTCTTGATCCTGGAACTGAGGGCGTGAGCTGGAGCCAAGCAGTGCAACTGGGCAAGGACCCACGCTACAGCCGGCCACAGGTTCTCCCCCGGAGCGGCACAGTGCTTAGGGAAGGGGGACGCGGCTCGCTGGCTGGGATGCTCCGCGAGCTACGAGACATCGGCACGCTTCTACCCCAGTGGCGCGGTCCACGCTTTGGCTCTCTCCTGGGCTGGAGCCACTCAGTCAAAGTTACTTAAAATTCAGAGATCCTGCCAGCTAAGCAAACTTCCCACCACACGTGGCAGTGTTTCTGCGGTATGCTCTCTCACGATCACCGCCACAGTAATGACAGGTTGGGGCTGCTCCGGGTCCCACTTCCAGTGTTGGCAGCCTCTGGCAGACTCGTCTGGACCATCAAGGTGACAGTTTTCACCATCCCAAGCTGGGAGGCTGGGCTCCTGGGCCAGTTTGGCACTGATGGACTGGGGCAGGTAGCATGTCTACGTGGCCCCTGTGCCTTCTGATGCGGGAGTACAGTGCCACATAGAGGAGCTGTACTAGGGCTGTAGCCAACCCAGCTCGCTACACTGTCAAGGCCGGCTTCTTATTGGCTGGGACAGAGCCACTGTGATGCCGGACTGGGCCAGGCCCGGGAGCGTACAGGGAGGACAGGTGGGTTCTGTAGGGGAGGAGGTAGTAACTAGCGACTAACAGGGTGGAGGGACTGTGGGTGTGTCTTATTGACATCACCCCAGGGTATCTGAAAGCTGACAGTCACTTCTTATATTCTTCAGAGTCACTGAAAGGTGCCCCACAGTCTTCATAGTGCTTAAGTACAGACAGAATCGAGGTCACACCCCAAATTGGGCCGGACACAGCTGGTGAGAATCCCGTGGTTTAAGGCTTTCCCTCCGACCTCTGGTCAACCTGACCCCGAGGAGGGGGCCTGGGAGCGGCAGGGCCCTGCCTCAAGGGCTAGACCGCCAAAGCTGCCTGCTGAAAGGTGACCAACTCATGATGCCCTCCTTTACATGGGGTTACAAGGTGATGGGGCAGGGGGGCACAGAGGAAGCCCTAAGGAGCTGCAGGTAGTGCCTACAGTCTTAGAACCAACTCTTAAGGGAGAGAACCTGGGAGCAGGTGGCCATAAGTGGGGACCAACTGAAAGAACGACACCTGAAACGCCCAGGGGCCCAGGTTTGGCCTTGGGGTCCATATTCCTCTTCCCAGGACTACAAGAACAGAGTAAGCCAACACCACTGACCGCCACAGACATCTTCTCGTCGACAACCTGGCTGCGTGCCACGCCTGTGTGGGTGTCCTTTGGGGGTGTTAGGAGTGCGAGGCCACTGTGGGGCCAGGAGCCTTTTGTCCATGGAGGAAGGGGAGTGTTGAAGTCCTCCTCCCCTCCGCCAACCCTGTTCCCTTCCTGGGAAGGAGGCGGAGGGGAGGCGGGGAATGAGCACGGAGCGGGTGAAGGAACCAGGCTGGTAGATGGGAGTCAGCTGGCAGGAGCAGGACAGGCTGTCGACACAGGGAGAGGGACACAGAGGCTAGAGTCCCACTACGACTACAGAACAGAACGGGGGCACTCCCTCGCTGCTGCCCCCAGCCATCCCGGAGACAGACACGGGTCATCTGAAGCTACTGATGAGAACTGTCCGCTAGAGTTCTGAGCACTAAGACTGGCAAGGAGGTACTAGACAGTTGCTATGATGTTTCATCCTTCATGATTACACCGCAGTAAGGAAGCCAGGGGACAGAACTGAAATACACGAGACAACACGCACTTGACAGTTCATGGCAGCAGCTCACGCAGGGCGCGCCTGCGGGTGTTTCTGGAAAGTAAGACTGCTGTCTCATTTGCTACTTTGATAAGGTACTTCTCAGCTGGACAGATTTAGATATAAGAGACATCTCTGTAAACACAGAAAAGGGTATACCGGTATGATGAAGATATGCAGCTAGGTAAGGACTTCCTGAACACGGGCAAGAACTTTGGGATCCCAAACAGAAATCGGCCAAGTCTCTAACCCCGCGCCACACTCACAGGAGACCAGAGGAGGGGGCAGCACCGCCCCACCTGCCTCCAGCGGGCAGAGCCAGACTCCATGGGAAGGGTGAGCGGGGGCGGCTGGGGCCCGGGGCCAGTCCCAGTTCCAGGTCAGGTGGAGTCACCTGGTGTCCTGCCATGTGCTGCTAGCCCCGCCGGGCTCACTGGTGAACGTGGCAGGCCGGCCCCTGGACACGATGCGGCCAGCACCCCGGCCCACTTCCCTCAAGTCCCGGGAAGGAATGGCCTACAGGGCAGGAGTAAAGCCCTTTGCCTTTTTCTCAGCAGGGAAGAGGGTGCTACCTGGGGAGCAAGACACACTGCCTTCCACTCCTCCGAGGCCGCAGACAGTGGCGGGGCTGGCAGCGGGGCCAAAGGGCCAGAAAGGCTCTAGGGGGTGGAGCTGACCTGAGTGGGCTCGGCGCGTGGGTGGGCACTGTGGTTGCCTGGAGAGAGGATGAGCTAGAAGACAGGAAGATGGAGGACGGGAGAACTGAACGGAAGGCAGAGATAGGAGGACAGAGGAGAGACCAATCAGGAAGTCCTTATAAAATTGCAGCAAACGTTAGAGTTTCGGAGCTTCGTGGGAACCCTATGTGCTGAGCCCACCTGAAAACAAGCGCAGGTATGTACAGATGCAGGGAGTCCGCAACATCATCACGGCCACTGGCTCGAGGGACACAGCATCCCAATTCAAGCCAGGCTGCTTTTGAAGCACGTTTGTTTTGAAGTGGGCACATGAAGACTCAATAGTGCAAATAATTCTATGCTGTCCCTATAAGGAGAACTGGAAAGTAATTGGAAGAACAGTTTTGAGACTCTCCTCCCTGTGTCCCTCAGCCGCTCCCCAAGCCCCTTGCTACTGCTCAGGCTACGCCGAGCAACTAGGAATCTCACTGCGCAGCACCAGCTCAGTGAGGCGGCTGGCTGCCCGCACCTGTCCTGCCTGCGGGCACAGGACCTCTCTAGTGCCACCTGCCGAGAACCCTGGGCATCCTCTCCCACAGCTCAGGCCACCCTGCACTTGCGGTTCAGGGCTTTCCCTGAGCCGGGCTGGGGCTGGAGCACACAGGTGCCACTTGCCTCTCCTACAAAATATCATTTTGGATTGGGGCTGGTATGGGGCCAGGCCTGTGCTGCCACGTGAGGGATGGGGCAGGCCACAGCCACTGGCCATCCTCGTCGTCTTCTCTAAAGAATTCGACGGCCTCTCTGCTCAGCCTCCCTGTTCCACTGCTGTTGGGGGTGGGCGAGATGGGGGAGCCAGGGCGCCATGGGCAGGGCACTGATGGCACCGAACCAGAGGGTCCTCTCAACTGCTGTCCGTCCCTAATGTCCCTAGCAACTGGGGTGGGGGAGGGTGGGGTAGGAGGGCAGGTGCCTGGTCAACAGCTTGTCTGGTCAGTAGTGTCTGCAGCAAGCCTTGTTGAAGGAGCCTAGTTTAGAAAAGTGCAAAGCTACTTCTGGCCCTGGTTAGGTCTTCAACCTGACTGTGCTTGTCGGTAAGAAAAACATCCCCAATGCTCCAACTACTCCCACCCTGAAGCCACGAAACTCTAAGTTTACTGAAAGAAAAAAAAATATTTTTTATTTCAGTTAATCGGGAAGCTTTGTCAGAGCCCTACCCATAAGGAGAAGAGACAACAGCTGCCTTTATTCTTGTTGGTTTGCTTTGCAATCCGCGCTGAGTAAAGTCAGCTAACTCTCTCGGTCACGGGCGTCCGGCTGTCCACAGGCTCCTCTCTGTTTGGCCTTGGCATGGAGGATGAAACAATGTCTTTGCGCTCTCCCTCCCCTCGGTGTTTGTACTTTTCTGCAGCCGGGGCTGGGGCTGGGGCTGGGGCCGGGGCCGGGACCGGGACCGGGACTGGGGCCGGGGCCGGGGCCAGGGTGGCGCTGGTGACCGCAGGCTGAGTCTTAGCTGGCTCTTTGGGGCAGCCGTCACTCTCCAGCGAGCCTCCTCGGGGCATCTTCTCCTCCTTGCATATGCCGCCACTCAAGTCCTGGGGCTCGGAGGGGCTGGCGGGGTCCTCAGAGCTCTCGAGCTCAGGCAGGGGTGGGGGCGGGGGTGGCAGCGGTGGCGCGGGCACCTTTGGGGACTCTGCATGGTGGTGGTGGTGGTGGTGCTCCTTCTTGGGGGGTGACGAGGCGCTGCCACCGCGCCCCTTGGGGCTGCTCTCCTTGCTCTTCCGCCCGGGGCTCTTGCAGCTCTTCAGTCCCTTGCCGCTCTTCTCGCCGAGGGTAGACACAAGCAGCGGCTTCACCACCTCCTTCACCTCAATGCTGACCGTCTCCCGGGTCTTGCGCTTCTTGATAGGGAGCACGGTCTCCTGCACGGAGCGGATGGAAGACTCCTTCACAGCCTTCTTCTTGGCCTCAGCAGCTGCGGCGGCCACCACACTCCCGGGCTTCCGGCCCCGTTTCTTGGGGATGGCCTGGGGGTCCGCCTCAGCTTTTCGCTTGCGGCCAGGGCGCTTGATCACCATGACCTGGGCTGACGTAGTGGCCCCACCCCCCTCCGCCTTGCCCCCAGGTGCAGCCTGGAAGGGCATCTTGACCAGCAGCTTCCCAGGGCTCTTCTCCAAGACCCTTTTCACCTGAACACCTTCAGAGGCTGCCGCCTTGGGTCTTGCTGAGCCACTCCCCTTGGGTCGTCCCCGACCTCTGCCAGTCCCTGGAGCTTTGGGAGATTTGGGCTTCTTAGGTGGTCTCTGCTCTCGCCGGGAGGGGCTCCCTCTCCCAGTTACCGTGAAGTCAAAATCGTTAGGGTCCAGGGAGGTATCGCCTACCTTTTCGAAGTATGCAATCAACTCCACTTTGGAGCGGAAGGCTTTTCCCTGGGGACTGCAGGGACAGATGGAGAGACACAAAGAACAGTCAGAAGGGCTCCTGACAAGGTCAGCGACCAGTGGAGTGGACAGGCTGAGGAGCTCTCTGAACAAGAGTCACCCCGAAGAGAAGCTAAGGGGGCTAGAACTAGAGGGGCACAGCCAGCTCAGATTCAGAGCTCTGCCACATCAACTGGATTCGGGTTGCCAGGGCACAGGACACCTGTACTCTTTCATTCACCAGCCAGGCCCTGAAGGCTCAGAGGACTTGCCAGCGGCTTGGCTGCTCTGGGCACTTGGTCCCTCCACCCATCTCAACGCCATGTGTCTGAGCTCAGGCCCAGCGCTGGGCCTCACTAGGAGCCTGCTCCCCCTCAGAGGTGTGGCATGAGGCTCTGGGAAACTGCTAGGTTCTCTGGGCTCACTTAGTGGGCAGAACTGCCAGTCTAGAGCTGAGGGCATGCAAGGACAGCTGACAAGGCCAGGCGTTGGGTCTGTCCGGCTCTCCTCCCGGGGCCCTTTCCCAGGGATGGCTCTCAAACAAAGTAACCAAAAGTAGGTCCCCTGCCCTTATCTCTAGATAAGCACCTCCCAGAAGGCAGGGTCTCAGCACACAGTGCTCAGCCCCACCCTGCCAAAGGGGCACATGTGCACTTCCCAGTCAATTTCAAGGGACTTGGGCTCAGTGTGTCGCCCTCCCCCTGCCCCCACCCTGGCTGGCAGGAACAGCAACTCACTTACTTGATCAAGTAGACATCGTACTTCCCAGCAGAGCGACCAGACTTCCTCTGCTTAAGCTTCCTTGTCCAGCCCTCAGGCAGGGTGGGGTCGTCATACATGGGCCCCCTGTCTCGAATGATGGAGCGCCGCTGCTTGGGGGAGGCGGACGCTTCCGGCACAGCCGGGGCGGAGCCTGAGCCCTCTGAAGTCTCCGCCTTGCCTGCCTCAGCTGGCTCAGCAGAGTGGTGTGCTGATGGCTGCAGGGGCTCATGCTTGGCTTCCTTGTCTTCCTTCTTATCTTTCTTCACCTTTTTAAACTTCAGGGGTTTGTCCTTGAGGCTCTGGAGGTCCTGGTCTTCGGACTTCTCTTCCCTGAAGTGTTAAACAAATACGTAAGTATAACTATCACAGAGAACACCTTCCTGCAGAAAAACAAGCGGGAGCGGGCTGAGGACCCCTACGACAATGGGCAAGGCCCCCAGGGTCCCGCATACTCAGGTCTTGGTGGCTTCCCCTACCAACCAACTGCGATCTCTTCAGGGACCCAGCATGGACAGAGCAAGGGCCACCCGAAGACTCCCAACCTTCATGCCAACGGAGGCCAGCCCGGCCTATGGGTAGAGGGTGGTCTCACAGCCTGAGGCCCACTTCCTGGAGCAAGTCTGGTTCTCTCAAGCACGTTCATGCACCCATCAGGTTTGTGCTCAACAACATATAGCCTGGGAGGGCAGGCACAGTGTCCTGAGCACCTCAGCCCAACGCCCCACCCTGCCGCTTTCCCAGTGTGCTCCCAGCCCAGTAACCTGTTTCCTCACCTCAGCAATGGAAAACCCATCCCTAGAGGTGCTCTTATTTATCTCAGCCCCGGGGTGCTACTCATGGTTCCAGCATGAGAAGAGAAGGGATCTCAGGCCACGTGGCCTCTACTGGAAGCCACCCCTGACAGGGGACAGTCTTGGCCTTGGTACACAGGGTGAGAAAGCCCTGGGATGGGATGGGATGCGATGTGGTGTACGTGGAGCAGTGTGCCCACCCTGCTAGGGCCAAGAGGCACCCACAGCAGCCTCTTCGCTCATTCTGTGGTGGCAGCAGCACCTTTCCTCTGCACCATCAGGCCAGGCTGGTAGGGAGCCCAGCCTGTGGGGCTATGATGTTTAACGACTCCCCAGGTGGGCCAGTGAGACCCTGCACTGCAGAACCCAGTGGTACTGGCACTAGCATCTCTGAACTGCAGGCTGTGCCCAGGGAGGTTTGGAAAGCAGCAGCCACTACCTATCTGCCCCTAAGTCAGTCTGCAGTGTGTTCTGGAGAAGAACAGACAGCTACTTCTGTCCCGCGGTCCCAATGCAACAACATGGAACTTGTTGGTGCTAGCCCCCGCCTGCCCTGTAATGGGTCCATTTGGGTCACATCCGTCCCGCTGTGGAGACAGCACTGAAGACACAGTGGTGTGAACCAGATCCTGAGTGAAGGCTGGATGGTTCCAGGTTGCTGAAGCTACAGGGACCGAACAGGCCAGAACAGTCATGGGGGTATGTGTATGGGGGGGGCAGCAGTGAGTCTCATAGAGTGACACAGCCTCAGCTCTGGCTTGGGCTAGAGTCCCTCCTTCACCTGTGTCTTTCTCTAGCAGTGTGGGCCCAGCCCAGGGCTACTGGGGTCCCCCAGGACCCCCTACATACAGAACTCACAGGCTGCACATGGGACAGACATGGGGCAGAGCAACACAGCCTCGACCCTGCTCAGTGCTCGCCTAGCCAGAAGGGTGGCATCTCCTGCACGCTCACTGAACTCTCAACATCCTCAACAGCAGTGTCACATACAGAGCATGTGTCCCAGTAAGGCCTTCCATGCCTCTACCCCAGGAGGCCTCTCCGGAAACACCCCCATATGCACCAGCATTTGTGCTGAAGACTGCAGACCCCTGCAGGAGGATGAACTCTTGGGGAGTGCATTCAGGCTCTATGGTGAGGTGCACAGCTGAACACAAGCAACCGGGTGTGTAGGACAGCAGGGAGAGGAAGGACAGGCTAGAAATGATGGCACCATTAGGTGGCCTGGGGCTAGAGGGAACAAGGGAAGAGACCTTGCTGAACTCCACTGGGGTAACTGTGACTTGTCAATCATGTCAATTTTTATATAGCTAGAAACAAATTTACAATTTCAAGTCACCAAACCCCATAGCGTTTGACTACAGACTTGAAGAAGGACTACAACACAAGTTCAGTGAACCACTGTCAAATGGGTGAGCCACATGAGTCTCCTCTTGGTAGGAGCTGGTCCAGTCCAGACCCATGCTGCTCCCCTTTCTGAGGCTGCTCTTCTGCAACACCTCGTGCCTTTGCTCTGTTTTGTCCCACGGGCTGGGGTTGTGCACACTTCTGAGCCCTGGGCTTGAGGTGCACACAGGATCTGGGGGATGCTGGGCTGGGCATTAGTGACAGCCCAGCCTGGCTCCACGGGGACTTTGGGCTTATTAACACACGTGCCTTTGCAAAAAAGCCAGACATCTCTTTGCAGCCTTCCTCTAATAAGCACGTGAGTGTACACACACACACACACACACACACACACACACAGAGTCTTGTTACTTTTTGTGACACTAGAGACTGATCACAGGTCTTTCACAGTGAACCCCAATCCTAACTCTTCATTCTTAAAAAAAATGTTCAGACAGGTCTAAGTTGCTTGAATTTTTTGTTGCTTTTTGAGACAGGGTTTCACTCTGTAGCCCTGGCTGGTCTCAAGCTTGAAGTGACCTTCCCATCTCAGCCTCCCAAATGCTGGTACTACAGAGTGTGCCACCATGGCCAGCAAGCCAGGCTTGAACTTGCAAATCTCCTGCTCAGCCTCTTAGAGCACTGTGCTTTTTCTTTTTGGTGGAACCGGGGATTGAACGCAGGCCCTTGCACTTGCCAGGCAAGCGCTTATTCTACTGAGCCATCTCCCTGGCCCATTGTGATCGCAGTTACAGACACACAATCTTAATATGATTATGAGAGTTGAGTACCTAGTTCACATGCTCAGAGGTGCAGGGCTGGACGTAGCCTCAGACCACCTGTTTGACTCTTGCATGTTATACATGGGAAAAAAGAAGTTCAACTACACAAACGGGCTCGTCTGTGGGCACTGCCAAGTGCAGCAGCTTCGCTGTCAATGGAGACACGCCTGTGTGCTCAAGGACTGTCTTTACTGTCATACCTGTCCCATATCTATGCTGCCCCCTAAGGGAAAGTGACCAAGAATGGCCCCCTGCGTCACTAGCAGTTCTGGGCTGAGCTCTCCTCAACTTCGCTTGCAGGTTCCTTAGTACAGTTCTTTCCTCTCCAAGTCTCCCTTTTCAGTGCAGCCCAAGTGCAGTGGCAACTGTTCATAACAAACATGACTACGCAAATATGCACCACCCAGCGTGCTACATCTGGGTACTGAACCCAGAGCCTTTGCCCTGAGCCACGCTTCCCAGTGCCTTTTGATTTGACACCAAATCTCAATAAGTCACCTACTTGCTCAGGCTGGGTTGAAGTTGCCATCCTCCTGCCTCAGTCCCCCAGAGCAGTGGGACTACAGGTGTGTGACACACTGTCTGGCTCATGCCTGCTTCTTTTTTTTTTCCCTGCTTCTTTTGATGGCTATATCTCTCTGACTAAAACTTCTAGCAAGCAGGGCCTAGATGAAGACTGAAAGCAGGCAGGCTCCAGGAAGTGAATAAACAAATGATGAGTTTGGGAACTATCAGCAATTTCTTGGATGCCAGTGGCTTAGAATGGCAGGAGACACAGTGAAAGTTGCTGAGGGCCTTGGGACCACAAGGGCAGCCAGTACAGAGGGTGGCTGCACCAGAACAAGGCAGCTGTGGCAGTGTAGCACACAGCCCCCTGCTGAAACAACTAACGCGCTGAAGATGCAGAGGGCACAGCAGAAAACACGGGACCGGGCTGGGGAGATAGCTCAGTAGAATAAGTGCTTGCCTGGCAAGTTCAAGGTCATGAGTTCAATCCCCAGTACCACCAAAAAAACAAACAAACAAAACAAAACACCCCACAGGACCATGCTATCTTAAGTGTACCCCAAAGGGGCGTGGAAGTATGGCCTGAGAGCTGGGGGACTCAAAGGCCCCAGAGTGGATACTGCTGGGGGACCTGGGAAGGTATGAACGAGACTTGACATTGGTGCTTCATTCTACTTCCTGCTTGTTGCAAGGGGACAGTGTTTTCTGTTCTCAGGAGAGCTGGGTGGAAGTGTTTAGGGGCTAAGCTTTATGACGATTGTGACGGTGACGACTGCTCCAGTACTGAATGAATCAGGGGATCTATGTAGTGCCAATACGGTACCATACTCAACGGGGAAGTGAAGCTGCTGGCTGACAGCATTTTGGGTTTTCTCTGCAGTTCAGTTCTTGGGATGGATCCATGGGACTTGAGCATGCCAGGTAAGTGCTCTCCACTGAGACACATCCCTAGCCCCCAAAGTAAGTTCTGAAGTAGTTATAGGCAAACTCTTCTTCCACTCTTTCTCTCTGTCTGAGACACAGTCTCACTGCGGAGTCTAGGCCAGCCTTGAACACATCACACAGCATATACTGGCCTTGAACTCCTGATCCTCCTGCCCTGGGCAAGCTCCTGAACATTTCAGACTGCCAGAGAAAGAGGGAGGCTGTCAAGAGATTTCCCCGTGTTTAGTAAAAAAGGAAACCTTGCCTAGGCTGTAACTTGCCTGTCCAGCAGCCAAGGTGCCAAGGAGCTCAGCAACATGAGGAAGTAACAAGAGACAGCAGTGGCCCGGGCATTCTTGTAACAACAAGCATGCGGGCCAGTCACTGAAGCACACAGGTGTGGCATGGTCTCGCCCCACCCCCACCCCACTTTTCTCTAAGCGCTTTTGTACTGCAATTTGCAGAACACAAGACTTTTTTCAGGAATGCATGTCCCACATTAGAACAGAAAGGCCTTCATAAATCTTAAATATCGACAAAGCATGTGGTAATACTCTGGAGTAATAATAAAACATCATTCACTGCTTCCGTTGCTAGAATGCAAACATTAGCTCCAATCCTTCATTTAATGTGGCAAAGGAAAATCAAGAGTGGCAGGAACCCTTCCTACTGAACCCTCATATCCTGAGGAGCTGGATGGGAGATGAGTCACCCACAGCAGTCCTGCTCCAGCAGGCCTTGAAGGCAGTCCCAAGAGGTGTCCCTGGGGCTCATCTGACCCCAGGCAGGCAACCAAAGCTAAGGAAGGATCACTAAAGCCTCAAGGTTTTCAGGTTTGGCTCGGTGGTATGGTACCTGCCTAACATGTACCTAGCCCGGGTTCCATCCACAGCATGCACGTGAGAGCCAGAAAGCCAAGTGCAAGCAGCAAGGAAAAGGT